TAGATAGATAGATAGATAGATAGATAGATAGATAGATAGATAGATTATAGACAAATAGATAGATAGATAGATAGACAGACAGACAGAGACAGAGAGACAGATAGACAGATAGACAGATAGACAGAGAGACAGATAGACAGATAGACAGATAGACAGATAGACAGATAGACAGATAGATAGATAGACAGATAGATAGATAGATAGCAATAGCAATAGCAATAGCAGTTAGACTTATATACCGCTTCATAGGACTTTCAGCCCTCTCTAAGCGGTTTACAGAGTCAGCATATTGCCCCCAACAACAATCCGGGTCCTCATTTCACCCACCTCGGAAGGATGGAAGGCTGAGTCAACCCTGAGCCCGTGAGATTTGAACCGCCGAACTGCAGCTAACAGTCAGCTGAAGTAGCCTGCAGTGCTGCACTCTAACCACTGCGCCACCTCGGCTCAGTGTATAGTCCAATGGTGGGATTCAAATTTTTTTACTGCCGGTTCTGTAGGTGTGGCATGGCTTGGTGGGCATGGTAGGGGAAGGATACTGCAAAATCCCCAATCAGCTGCAACTCGGGAGGCAGAGAATAGATGGGGCGCGGCCAGCCAGAGGTGGTATTTACCAATTCTCCGAACCACTCAAAATTTCCGCTACCAGAACGGGTCTATGCCATGAATCTGCTGAATGCCACCTCTGGTCTAGTCACGGGGGCACGAATTAAGTTTAGAATTGAACCGACTGGTTTAATTTTGCCCCCTCCCCTCCGATTTATTGAGCTTCACACCCAAACTTCTCACATTCATTTCTGCTTCTGCAAGAAAGGGATGTTGAAGGACGGGACTGTCAGGTCCACCTGGGAGTTCCATCCATGTTTTCCTGGTGAATCCTTTCATGATTCATAGCTAAAACTTTAGGCAGGATTTGGAAGCAAAGTGGCCCATCACAATCCCTCTTAAGATTTGGATCCTGACTCCCAACTCAGTAAATATGATTGCGATCATCATCATCATCCAAAAATGCTGATGACAACAGATGAGAGAATAAGCAGAGTTGGAAGGGACCTTGGAGGCCTTCTACTCCAACCCCCTGCTCAAGTAGGAGATCCTGTACCATGGGTGTTCAACCTTGGAAAATGAGATGATGATGATGATTACAACAGATAACAGAATAAGCAGAGTTGGAAGGGACCTTGGAGGTCTTCTACTCCAACTTCTGCTCAAGCAGGAGATCCTGTACCATGGGTGTCTAACCTTGGAAAATGAGATGATGATGAGGATGGTGGTGATGATGATGATGATGATGTCAACAGTAACAGAATAAGTAGAGTTGGAAGGGACCTTGGAGGTCTTCTACTCCAACTTCTGTTCAAGCAGGAGATCCTGTACCATGGGTGTCTAACCTTGGAAAATGAGATGATGATGATGATGATGATGATGATGATGATGATGACGACAGATTACAGAATAAGCAGAGTTGGAAGGGACCTTGGAGGTCTTCTACTCCAACTTCTGCTCAAGCAGGAGATCAGCGTGATCATCATTACTATCATCCTCAAAACATCAATGTTCTCAGGTGAAACCTTCAAGATTTGAAGGAAGCTTTTAGTCTTTTCATTCATTGTGGTGTCATACCTTGAAGCTGAGATCCATAAAATTCCAGAAGAGTTCACCATATTTGGGACACCAATTTTGTTTTTTTAAAGCCAGGACAATTAGACATACATGCATACATAGCTTTTTAACAGCGTTTCCCTGGAATGTTTGTGCAGTTTTGTTTTGCAAGTATTTGTATTTACACGTACTTTTATGTTTAAAATTATTCCAGTTATGTTTGTGTTTTATATTTATGATTTAGCCTAAATCATAAATCGGCTTCACTGGAACTTAATGTGCTTCATGCCTTTTTCTTGTTTGAGTTTGGTGGGGTTAGAATTTCTATCGGTTCCTCACCACTAAATATTCCTTCTCTTCCCTTTAAAAAAAACCCCACCAAGATACGAACTTCTGAATGTCCTTGATTTTGACTGCGTCCGTCGCCGGATGAGCGTTATTGTGAAGATGCCGGATGGTGAGTAGAAACCAAAGATATCCTCTGATACAGGAGGAAGAGAGTGAACTAGCCACGTTCTCTCTCCGGGAGAAATGTCCATATGGATGAACATTGGGTAGTCTGGAGATGGATTAGGGGTGACAAGATAGTAGTATTCCAGTATTTGAGGAGGTGTCACAAAGAAGAGGAGCAGATCAACCTATTTTTCAACATATCAGAAGGCAGGACAAGAAACAAGGGATGGAAACCAAAACAAGGAGAGAACCAACCTGGAATTAATTAAGGAGAAATTTTCCAACGGTGAGAATAATTAATCTGCCTTCAGAAGTTGTGGGTCCTCCATCACTGGAGGTTTTAAAGAAGAGATTGGACAGCCACTTGTCTGAAATGGTGTAGGGTTTCCTGCTTGAGCAGGGGGTTGGACTAGAAGACCTCCAAGGTCCCTTCCAACTCTGTTATTCTATGTTCAGACAAATACCTCTCTCTCTCTCACCAAAAATTATAAATTCTGAATTTGAATTTTGGATGTAAGCATCCAGGATAAGGTGTTGTTTTTTTAATGACCCTATCAGCCATAACTATTTGTTTAATGAAGTCTTCAACTCTGAGCCACTTAGAATATCTCCAACCTTGACATCAGCAAGGGCCAATACTCTAATCCAGGGGTCTCCAGACTTGCCAACCTTAAGACTGGTGGACTCTTCTGGGCTCCTCTGTTCCCCTCCGAGGAACACGAGGGTGTGGACGTTTCCCTTGTACCTCAACTAGCATCAAAATGTTCTGTTTCCCTGTCTTTTAGGAAGAATATACCTGTTTTGCAAAGGAGCGGATTCTTCTATTTTCCCAAGGGTCCCTGAGGCTGAGTCACAAAAGACAAAAGCCCATGTGGAACAGAATGCAGTAGTAAGTCCTTCAGATTTGCTGGGATGTAGCTGTCCAGGTTTCCATCATCTTCAACTTAAACCACAAGGAAAGAAATTGGTGGAGCCCTTTTCCTCCTCCTTCTCCTCCTCCTCCTTCTTTTCCTTCTCCTCTTCCTTCTCCTCCTCCTCTCCTCCTTCCTTCCTTCCTTCCTTCTTTCAAAAAGGCATATTTTGAAGAAAGAGGGGTAGAGAGGGTGGGAGAGAGGATGGGAGGGAGGGTGAGAAGGAAGGGAGGGAGTGTACTGGGAGAGA